CACATTCAGACTTTCTTTCTTTCTTGGATTCTTTACTGGTCTCTCCCTTACTTCCAGCTGGCAACCCGGAAGGGTCGATCTGCCCAGGCTTTAGGTGCCTTACGGTCTTCCTTCCCTTGATACATGCTTCCAGAGCACATGTCCTTTTCCTCTGGTTGGTAACCTGGCAGTTCAGCTGATGTGTCCCCCCTACTTAAGAACCTGGTCACTTGGTTCTCCGGTCTCAGTCTTCAATTCCAAATTCGGTCTTCCTGTAGCACCGTTAAAGATTATACTACCTCTCTACTTGGGACTTGCCAAATGGGTTTTCAGTAATTCCGGTTTCCTGGATTTATTGCACCAAAGCTCCTATTCAAGATGATGTAACCAAGATTACAGATATCTGGATTCAACCGATAATCTTAATATTAACCGATACAGATCTAGTATTTTCAAAATCGTCATCTATGAGATTCGAACTCTAGACCTGCCATCTGGGGGTGCGACAACTCCACCACTTCACTAAGTCGCCACACCCTATATCTATAGAGATTACTTTAATACTTAAAATATATATATATATATTAAAACATTCAACAACAGTTTTAAACTAAACAAATATATTTTAAATAATTATATTTTAAAATATTTTCTATCTCTAGATATAACTAATTATTAAATATAATAAATAGATATCAACTAATTTATTAAGTATATAAATTATTTTAATACTAATTTTTATGCTAGATAATTGATTAAACTTAGTAGCAAACATTTTATAGTGTTGTATTAGAGATCTAAATTATTTTTAAATTAGTAAAAATTTAAGAATAATATGGTAAGTTAATTCAAAATCAACTAAATTAATATTATTATATTATTATTATAAATTTTTTTTATTATTTCTATTTATATTGTTACATTATATTATTTAATTATTATTTATTTTTTAAGTAATCAATTACCTTATTTTTGTATTAGTAAATTCATATTATTTTATTTCTTGTAATTAATATACTTTTCTTTGCTTCTTTTACCTTACTACTTGTAATTAAATTATTTCAGTTAAATTAAGTTTACAATGAAATATATATAAAGGATTATTTTAGAATCACTTTTACTAAAATATACCTATAGTGAAAATTCACCTATAGTGAATCACACCTATGGTGAAAATTCATCTATAGTAAATCACATCTATAGTGAAAATTTACCTATAGTGAATTGTATCTATAGTGAAAATTTACTTATAGTAAAATCGTATCCATGGTGAAAATTTACCTACCATATTTTTACGAAATAACATGCAGGTGTGAAATTATGAATTTTGGTCTAAATTAAGTTTAATTCTGGTCATTATTCAAAATAGCACCTATGCCTATTATTTCATGAAAATACGGTACTAAATAAGCATAAAATAATGCTTATGGGTGTTATTTTAAAAAACAAGTCCTTCAAATATAATTTATATGGTTTTGAATTTGTGCTTATGAGCATCCCAAATTAACTCTATTATAATACAATAATAAAAACACACAATTTGATCAGTCTAATGTAATTATATAAATTAATCTTTACAAATAACTTTTACCTACAATGTGCATTTATGGAAGGTCATCTGTATTGAATTTATTTTGAAGTAATGCATATAAAAGCATTTGAAATAACACACAGAACAACTATTAGCATGAGGTGAGCATTATTTTGTGCTTATACGGATAGTAAATTGTATCTTAATGAATTATAACTATAGCTCAATTCTCTAAAAATTAGTTTCTCTATAAGCCATATACCTAATATTATATAAACTAGTTTTAACCAAAATACTAATTGACATTGCTGTTTTGTTAGTAGTTATATACAAGCAAAATAACACTATTATATAATTTTATTGAATTTGTTTATCATTACAAGATTAAAATAAATTTAACATTGCTGCTACAATTAATACCATTCATAAGAACCTATTTTTAAAACACCTAACTTATTTGTATTTACAAATCTATATATAATTCTATCCATAAAGAATAGAGTTATTGATAAAATATCTAAATAATAAAAGTACATTAAGTATAAAGTATAATTAGTTAATATGATGCACCAAGTCACTTGTTATCAAGTATACCAAATTTGGCTTGATATATTCAAAGTGCGCCAAACTTGGCTTGATATATTCAAAGTACACAAAATTTCAAATTTGATTAAATATATTCAAGATGTAGACAAATTTAGATTTTAGATTTTGGTTAGATATAAATTCTTGAAACCCACAAGATTCTGAAGTAGACAATTAATGAATTCAAAATACAAGCATATTCCCTGGAAAAAACTAGAAACTTTTTAAAGGTTCATATAGGCTAGGTGCTGAGAAAAGGGATGAAATTAACAAAAAAAGATCTTTAGAAAATCAATTTTTGTGTTGTAAATCTTATAATAAATTATAAGAAAATAAAATACAAATTTTAAGAAGCTATATTGCAAAATTTTATTAACACAATACTTTGTGTAATTATCAATTTTATCACTTTTTTCAGTACCTAGCCTATATAAATAAATATATTTTTATAAAATATAGTCGATCGCATAAACAAGTTTTCATGGGTAGTACATCGCAGTGCATATTATTTTGATCGCTTATGCATAATTTTGATCATTTGTGCATTATTTTGATCGTTTATGCATTATTCAGATTACACTATATTATTTTAATATATTATTACTTTTATTATTTTAGAAGATTAAAATCAGCAGTCAGTATAATTTAGAAATAGATTTTAGCTTTAAAAAATTTATATATGGCAATTTTTTTAATCTGACAAATCTATCAAATATTATATAAAGTGCGCATTGATGTTATTTCAAATCTATCTATTTTAAAAGTGTAATTTTAAATTAAACACAGCAGAGTTCTTACTAAATAATTATAACCATCCCAACATTATAATAGATCTAGAAAACCTAGATAACATATACCAACATACGTATATAATGTGTTTTGTTTTATATGTCATATCTCTTCTTAACAATTTACTTTTTACAGGCTAAATACAATATAACAAAAGTGTAGATTTTTTTTTTTAGTTATTTAAACTTATATGAAGCCAATTATAAGTATATAATTTCTATTCTTAATTTTACATTATTAGTATTTATTAACCTAACTCTAAATCAATTTCATTAGGTATATGTCTATAAGAACAATACTTATGTATAGTATATTCTGGTACCCAGCCAGTAAGTCTACGTCTATAAGCATTCATATAACTCCATACCTTTTGTGCAAAATAACATATAGTTGTAAGTGATACTGAATCAATGCTTTAGGTATAGTAACTTGTAATCCAGACCATGAATAATCTCAATACTCACGTGAATAGTGTTTTACAGCATTCCAGTATCATTCAATGAAATTTAACTTATAGTGATACTTAGGATAAAATACACAAACATGACCTTATTCAATGATAAGTTCCTCTAATACTAATTTTTGTATAATAAAATCAGGCTGTGTAAACAAAAGGTGACATGCACAACAATTAGGTGCACTTAGATTATAATAGTTATTTCCATACTTTAATTTTAGACCACTAGTAGGCCATAAGTTATGCTTATAAAGTACTTGTTGAATACCCTTTGGTTGACTATGAAAGATATAATTAGAATCATCAGGAGAAAGATCTTCAGGAAAGATCATTGGCTGAGTAATTTGTTCACCTTGTTCATTAATAAACCAACTGTCATGTAATCTTGACTATTTATTACCAGGATAAAGATTCATGTTTTTAGTACATAACGCATCACTTGCAAAAGCACTATGATTGGTGCTATTATCAAATACAAAGACACCAATACAGTTTGGGTAAGTTGCTTCAAAAATAGGAATTGCTTTATTGGCTATTTGTGTAAGCAAGTCAGAAGCATTCTACCAGCTGTTATTATTTTTTTCAGGTTTGATAATAACATGAGCTTCTTGTGAAAATGTTGGCAGTAGATTTAATTCATTTATTTCTGCAGAAGTAATTGTGAGCTAACCACAAGTCTCAGTTAAAAACTCTGAAATCATAAGTGCTTTACTCTTTTCTTTTTTGCGTAGTAGCAGCATACCAAGAGAAGTCTATACCGAAGGACAACTATTATTCATATAGAATATACACTCATTATGAGTAACAAGAATATGTATTTGTTTTTCTTCACTTATTTCTGGGTTAATAATTATTTTCATATTTTCACCAACAAATTGTGGCATTAAAGTTTCAAGATCTTTCATTTTTTCAAGAAATATTGCATGATATTGTGCAACATCAGGACATTCGTGCTCATTGTAGTAAATACCTTGTTGATGCCATTGATATACGAGGCCAAGATGACAAAGCCAAGTTCGATCTGTCTCTAATGAAATTGAAGTACAAGAACTGGTAATATGTGGTAAAACATTGTTCTGAACATAATTCTGAAATTTTTCAGTAGTTATTCTTTCACCCATAGTATGGATAAAATGCAAGCAAGAAGATAAAATGCAAGCAAGAACTTTGTACATCCTCATCATCAATAAGAGTTGGTATGTATTTTCGTTGTCCTTGCTTAGAAACAGGTAAAGTTTCAGTTGTAATCCAACTCTTTGTCCTCTCACGGATAAGATGTGCTATCCATGAACCATGTTTAAAAACTTGTTGTGATATTTCAAGACTTAGGAATATGACTCTTCATGATTAAAGATTGCAGCAAGGTATTCATGCATGGCAAGAAGACAGAGATATTCTAAGCATTCATATTTTTCATGTCTTTGAGATTATTGCTTAATTTATTTATTTTCTCTGAAATAAAACTGTTATTTTTTATATCTGAATCGCTTATATCTGAGTCTGACATTTTATATTTAACTTCTAATTTTTTTACAGGTTTAAAAAAATTGTCCAAACTCATTGATCCTTGTGCCACCTCCTATAATCCTTTATTCTTGTGTTGCTAAGTACATTTTGAACTACCAGAATAATATAGTAACTGACCACCAGATGCTTTATTATCCTATTGAATATTATAAAATGAACTATTTTCATAAACTAACCATTCAGCTTCTTCTTTACTAAGTTCCATTTCCCCATTATTAAATTCCTTCTCATTACTGCTCTCAGATTCATAGACTAAAAGTTCTGAATTACTATATTCTAGATTGTTATATTCTGGATCTGCAGCTAAAAATCTTCCATCATTATTTCTACTTTGTATAAGTATATGTTTTTTTGCAGCATTTTTGAGTTTTGATTTTGGCATTGTTAAAATTTATGAATATAGAATGTAACGAGATAATATTGTGAAAGTAAGATAATTAAGAACATGGCTTTTGTAAAAAAATGTAGCTTTATATTAAGTTTTTACTATACATGATGTCACTAATAAAGACATGATTTACACTTATTTTTGTTTGAAAATCATATTGACTATGTATTTAGATTTATAAATTTGGAGCAGTTTTTTTAAAAAGACTTAGTATTTTGTTGTTAAATAATGATACATAAAAAGAAAAACTTGTAAATATTTACATTATCAACCTCAAAGAACCTAGACTATTATGAGATATAAATTTTTTTTTATCAGTTCTTGAAAAAACTAAAAGTGAAAACTGTCATTACTGCAAAATTAGTTTTAGTGATTAATGAGGCAGAAATTCTATAATCGATTTACATGTTTCTTTTGCTTATTAACCTAATTATATCTATAGGTAATATAGCTGTACTGCTATTATATACTATTGAATAATATATGATAGAAAATTATTAAAATATGGAACATTCAGGTGAATTGAAGCTTAAAATTTATATTCTTATGCTAAAGAAATACTAGCATTACAATACTGATATGTACAGCTATATTGAGAAGTAAAACTTAAATTTTTTATAATTGGATGATCCTTTTTTAGAGAATATATTAAATAAACCCGAATTAATCTGGTTGGTTATAATTCAAATGGTTTTACATTCTCAACTAATATGCATTATCTTTATGCAGCGATGGATTGGTCATCAACGAAATAAGTTTTAATTTTTAGCCCATACGTATTAGTTAAGATTACAGTCCTAATACTGTAATAAACTAAAAATAGTTTTTACCTTTTTAACATGAGCGACTCAAACACTTTCTTTCATCCTCTGTGATACCTATACCCATATTATACTGTAGGAGTCCAACATTAAAGTTTCCCACCAGGAGAACTATGTTTAGCAGATTTTAAATGTAAATCAAATGCTTTCTTTTTATTCTTCACAGTGCCAATGTCTTCTTTATAACAAGACTAAGATTACATTGTCCACTAGGTGACCACCTTTAGCAGATGTTAAATACTATTCAAATGCTTTCTAGAAGTACCCACTTTCGTAACAATATCTAAGAGAATTTTGCCCCATTGTGTTACCGCCTTCTGTCCTTCCTTGGAAGTATATGTACGTAATGCTATTGTTATAAAGTCTAACATTACACTGCTCATAAAAATTTTCAGCAGATTTTAAGTTAACTCAAAATGTCAAGATGCACAGCAATATAAATGGTTCCCTAATTAATGAAGTTCTAACTCTATAAAATATGCATCGAAGTCAAATTTTAATCAAAACTCATACCACATATGATAAGCATTCTTTGCAGCCCCATTATTTCAAGCAAAAGGTACAGATTAAAAAAAAAAAACACAGATTGATTAAATAATTGTAATTATCCATAGCATTAAATCAACTTTGTTAAATTGTTAAATTAGTATCGCATAAAAAATTTACAATAAATATTTAATCTAAATATGTACATACTAAAACCCTATTGTCGCTACTAACGTCTATCTCAAAGGTGAAGCAACGCGTATTGGGTAAGTATCTCAGTATACAACGTTCAAAGTATATTATTTGAGAGAAAAGCACTTCTGATCTCTTTTACTTTATTTTTTCACTTTACTATCATGCTATACTTACTTTGACCATTTTAATTACATCATTTTGATCACACATATTTAACTTTTAATTAATTTACTAATCACGCCGTTTTTTACAAACTCTATTATGACATTTTTTATGCCTCGATTATTAATTTACGCATCATTAACTTATCTAATTTTTACGTCACTAATTTATTCCCTTATGCCCCGATCCTATGATCCGACCTATATCGACGATCACGTGAGCACGTGACATCTCGTTCGCTTCTCTTCGAAGTCTTCCCTCTTTTTTTTTTTATAATATACCCGACTTATATCCCGGGCAAGTGCACTATGTATTGCACTATCCTGTCACACTATATTAACAAGAAAAAAAAAAACTTATAAAACCGATTTTTGAGTAAACTGATCAAACTGATTAAATACGGTCTTGAGAATTAATTTATCTTTGTCTTCATGCCAATTTTATGTAGATTGCATATGTGACGCCAATTTCTATAAAAACTATATGTAATAACATGGCGCCAATTTTATAAATTACATAATAAATCGTATAAAATTTCTAAACTTTAGCTGCTTATAACTTGAAAGTTTAGGCTTTTAAAAAAATTCTAACCGATAATTTGAATAGAACTAATGAAAAATAATAGTTTTTATCGGTTATATTTTGAAAAAATATTTAAAACTTAAGATTTTATAGATTTTTTAAAAAATACATAATTTTTGATGAGAAGTGACTTGGTGCACCATACGAAGGTGAACAAGACAATGGTTGGCCGATTGTTTAACGATTTTCTATTAAAAATGAATATTATAAAGATTTTAATCAAATACTATTTAGATAATTAAAGTTAGTTGCGTACTTACTTGCGCATGAAACAGCACAATTAGAGAATCATAAATTACACGAAAATCATGTCTATCTCTGGGCAAGTAAAAGACACCTAGTTGCACCATTCGATATAATGCCTCATAACGAAGATCCATCACATATAACGTGCATTTGAACCCTATAAGAATAACGAAACAATAGTGGATTACTAGTAGACCTTGAAAGTTCATAACTATTGAAGCGACGAAATTACTTGCCTTCAACTAATATTCCACAAACAGGAACGTTATCATCAATACCGTCGTCAATCATCTTGTCAATACAGTCTTTTAACTCATTACCAATCTTTACAAGATCATTCAACATATCTTTATTTGATGATGCAGATTTCAAAGGTTTGATTTCGACTATAAGTAAATTCTCTTTTTCTCGATTTGCAGAGGTGTAAACTGCAAAATCAGGTTCTCTTCCTTCTAAAGAAGGATCAAACTTCTTTTTGCGATACGCAGATGAGTTAAGAGTTTCATTTGCCCTAATAGAATATTTAGTTTATGGGAAAAAAATAATTTGTACTTCTGTGCAGAATATATTACAAAAAATATTACCAAACACTAGAAAATTTAAATGAATCCTTAAAAAAAGGCGAAATAATGGGTGAGAGCACTTTGTGGGCGAATGAATCCTCATGGAGATTATCCATTGTTCCGGAAAGTGTATACATGTTAAGTCTAAATTAAAACACAATTAAATGTGTGATAATCAAATATTTTTTACTATAATTTGACTTACATATTATGAAATACGTCAAATATTATATCATCAGATTCCTTGTCACTTGATTTGTACCAGTTTCTTAGTAGTGATTTATTGTTCTTAAAATCATTTCGGGCCATCTAGTTACAAAGCATGTAAAATGTATTATATAGCATTAATAAACTATATAATTGACAGTATAATTTTTACCTCTGCCATTTCATTGCATTTAGACAGCCAATTATCTGGGAGGTCTGATAATGGATATTCTTGGTAAACTTGTTGAATAGCACTACCCCAAAGCTTTCTGTCAATAATATGACCATCATTCTCTGAATCTTGCATCAAGAAAATATGATTAATAGCCCTATAATTATTATGTAAACATTAGTGCCAACATAAGCATTCGACTCATTTTAAAAGGATTAATTAATTCTTACAATATCTCACTTGTCCTTTCAATCTTTCCAATTGATGCCTTGAGAATCGAAAGTTTGCGAAATTGAAAGAATAGGTCTGAAATATTGGTCCCATCTAAAATCCACTGGATGAAAAAAATAAGTTTATAATCCAATTGATCTATTGTTATTAATTTTGAAACTATCAAAGCAGATTTGCAATTCAGATAAGAATCGTGGTCCCTATACATTTGTTTACTATGATCAAAAACATTTACCTTATTATGAATTTTAGATGCATTCGTTTCTATTTCTGTTGGTCCCACAAACCAAAATAGCTTTGGTTTCTGTTTCTTCTTTTTGTCATCCTCATCATCAGTTTCATCATCCTCACTTTCATCAGGTTTCCATGATGAATCACTTCCATCAGGTTTACATGATGAATCACTTCCATCACCAGGTGTTTTATTAACTGATTTCGTATGCTTTGATAATGAATCATTTTCATCACTGAGTGGTTCACCGTCTGATTTCGCATGTTTTGATGATGAAGATGAGGAATCGCTTCTATCACTTGATGATTCACTACCTGATCTTGCACGCTTTGATGATATGAGGAACGGATTGTTTTCAGCATTTTCTTGGATCGTCTTGTGTTTTCTATTTTCTGCTTTAACAGTTTCTACAACATTTGTCCTTGTCACATCTAACATGTCATATGTGGACTCTTCAAGACCATCAAGCAGTTTTATCTGGAAAAAGATACAAATAGTCATTACGTGAAGATGCTGTTTTCATAAATAACTTTTATTACTTGCTTTCTTCCTGTCAATCTTCTTTCGCCTATTTATATCCACAACATCTTGCCAGAACTCTTTCACTGCATTGGAAATCGACTCTTCCTTATTTCATGAAAAATTTTTATTAATAAAAACTCAATCTAGAAAATTGGCAAATATTGTGATAAGGTAGCAACTATCAGCCACCAGTAGGTAAAGGTGGCCAGCATCGAACTCGAATGGTTCATCAACGGTTGCAGAATAATCTGAAGCGCTGTGATGTGGTATAACTCGAATGGTAAACTTGAGAATATCTACAATGATAAAAACATTCTCAAGTCCACCTTTACAACTACTGGCAGGTAAAAGGTGGCCAGCATCGAACTCGAATGGTTATCAACGGTTGCAGAAATAATCTGAAGCGTTGTGATGTGGTATGACTCGGATGGTTAACCTGAGAACATGGGCTGCCGTCAATAGAAATCAAGCAAATCTACATTTTAAAAAAAATCAATGCCTTAACTTTCATAGCTCATATCTCGATG